ACACCGTTTCCGTTCGCTCTGATACGCAGAGAAGGCTCGTAACGCTGAAACGATGCGTGATTCCCAGCGGCCAGATCGTTCTAGAATTTACCAATGCAAATCGAAAAACGCAATATCTTTCCGCGACCTCGACTACCGGCATTCCTATGTAAAAGAAGGCAGCTACCTGAGAAAAGAACCGATTCCTCTCAATGACGATCGGTATTTAACGTTTCACGCATAACGTTACATAAATCATCCACTTTTTCGTTCTTTCATCATTCTTAAATCTTAAACCGTACAATTATTACCGGTGAAACATCCTGTACCATGTTTTCGAGTCAATGTGATAATAATTCTCGGTAAAACATCTTTCAGTACTTAGATACGTATCGTTTTAACCGTGACGGTCAACGCGGCAGCACGTTAAATCCAAGCAAAGCCGTTTTATTTCTCGCCTGTTCGTTTATATCTTGCCCAGCCAGCGTTACCCTATTTCGATAAAGCACCGTAACAAACAAAGGCTAGTCACGGACGTAAAGCATAAAATATTCTCGCTACGAAACGGTCGATCGCGGGAACGTCTCGGTGTTATCATAATAAACCAGGGACTTTATACGCCTCGATGGAATTGCGTTTCCAGTCGCGACGTGGGACTAAAATCGGACAATATCATGCGTTATGCTTCCGTGTCGCGATCCTGTACACGTTTGATCCCCCTTACAGATACAACATATGACGTAGGAGCTGTGATAGTTGCCCGTTGCTGGGACGGGTGGATCGTCGATGTTCCTTTTTCTTTCGCACTGTCTCCGGCGAGCCTCGTAGCCTCGTGGTTTCGCAATCTCGAAGAAAAGACATATTGTCGCGGTTGAACGTAGGCCGCAGCGTAGGCCGACCTATCTGGTCCGTGCTCCTTCTCCCGAAATGGACACGCCGATGAGAGGAAAAGTATGCAACAGTTCTCGGCCGTTTCTGTCTCAACCCTTTATATGGCGACGCGCTTACACGTTGCGGCAGAAAATCCTTCGATGCTGCTTATTTTTGTCATTATCTAGTCGAGATCTTGATCTATCTTAATTACTAAGATAACTAAACCGATCAGAATATCGAGTACATGCTAATTTTTCACCTCTCATTCGTTTATATTTCTCTGAAGACAACTTTATTGATTCTGAATTGATACAACGTTTATAGGATAAGATTATGCTCGTTAGATTAATGAAGTTTCGCCTCGGTTCGCAATGGATTAATCTCTGAAGTTTTATTGTAACAAAGAAACGATATCGAAGAATATTTATCGCCGGGGCAAACTCGATCTTCAAGGTCTCAACAAAGCTGAATACGTTAAAAATCATCTTCAAGGTCCCAATAAAAACAATTTTCCACCTGTGTAGACGCTCAGCTCCCGCCACGACGTTCGATCAATGTCTGTCGGATTCATAAATGATTCGTGCTTTTTTGAAAAAAAAAAAAAAAAGAAAATCGACGATATAAGAGGATTACAAAAGAGAAATACATGCGCTTACGCGAAGGTCGCGGGAAGCTTTAAATTCCGATCGCTTCAGAGATGCAGTGCCAGGCAAGGAGTATGGATTTTAGAAAACGTTTCATGGAATTCCCGTGGGATACGTGAATTCCTTCGTTTACCAGAAATGAGATGTACGAGAAGCACGAGATTTTCTGCATCGGGCTGACATATTCGAGGACGTCGAATGATACATAGTCACGAAACCGTGCAAGGATAAAAGAGCGAATATTTCAAGGAATCAATCGAACCTGTTCGTGGTCATTTTAACCCAGCTATGGGAAACGTAGAAAATTTATTTGCCAAGTTCACGCAACTGTTTCTTTGTTTCTAAATTGAATGCGTTTCCTGAAAAACCGTTTGAAATTTTGTACATAATTCAACAATCAAAGCCGCATATAATGACGCTTCAGTTATGGATTCTCACGACAATAATAGTCGTATAAAGAAAACGAACAAGGGGCATAGTTGCATCGAACGATACGGTTCATTATAGAATTTATTTCAAAGTTACGATTAGCACAGTCTCAGGTATTAAATTTGCAAGTTCGAAGTTTACCGTACAATTGTCACGGTCGATGAAACGGTATTTATTAAATAATCACGACACGCTCGTTAGCATTCTATCGGATTTTACGATTATTCCGTTTTACGGCGTTTCTATTCATCCTTAATTGGCAACGTACTCGTGATCGTCGTACGCCTGGCGGTGTATAAACGACACACAGAATAATTGTGCAACGAACCAAATTTATCGCTCTACCGTGTCACAACGGTGGCCAACTAATAAATATTAATAAAGTGACGTTCGTTGAATTCATCAGTGCTTATCTGTGTACATTCAACACTTGTGCTGATCGCGTATGATTAATATTTTTACGAATATCCTCGATAAATTTCATCGGCGGTATAAATGTCACTGGTGACAGAGACGGTGCAATATTTGTTAATAAGGCCACCTAGAATTACCGTAACGCCCCCGATCACGGGCTATCCACGGAAGAGGATGGACTTAAAATTCTTGACAAGCCTCTACAAGCGTTTGCAATTAATTCGCCAGTACCTCACCTCGACGAACACTCGACGCAGCCCATTAAAATTCTCCGCGAGCTTTCGCAAGCTGCTTTCGAGTGCAAAGGCGAAGCTTTTCAGAGCGTGTCGCGACCGTGCCGATAAGTTTGCCCGCGTACGCGATACCTTTTTCCCGGCGCTGACACGCGCGTAATTGTACGTACGTAAAAATGATGGTCGGCTTGCCGGCCACTCGAGCTTACCGTCTATTTATACACCGAGGATTCGAATGAATCCTCTCGTATCTACGATTTACGTCGGAGATAAACTCGGTACCGAGGCAAGGCCGGCTTCCTGTTAAAAGGTCAGACCACCTCGACCAGTTCGAAAAATACTACATTTTTGGACATTTATTTCTCCCTCGGCAAAGTTCCATAGTGTTACAATGATTCTTTGGTGTATCTCAATAAAAACCATACGGTGTTTGTACAGTGAGTCCCTAAGAATTTGTTGCATCATGCGTTACGCGTGCGGTCGGAAACCAGTCTAAGCGAATAATAGTCGACAGTGACATTTCGTGAAACCCTCTTGTGCCTCTGCATTATTCATAATCGAAAGCCACAAAGGAAAGTTCGATTATGAATAATTTAAAATCCTCTGGTGAAATTGTCATCTCGAAAGAATGTTTTATCTCGCGAGGCGAAGAACAAACATTAGTTTCTCTTCTAAGACAACACAAACGCACGTGCTTACATAATTCACTACATTCTGCGTTTCTCTAAATCACACAGACTCGAACTGGTCCCAACATCCGACGAATTCCGTCATTCAAGTTCCTTCCTGAAAGGCTTTAAACGCCTTCGCGTGCACAATGGCTCAAGTTAATCCTTTGATGACTCAAATTTAATTTTAGATTCTTTCTCTTTTTTATTTTCAAATTCTAAACGAAAGTGTTTAAATATTAACACGTTGAATTCCTGGGGTTGTGTCAGTGACCAGCCTCGCAAGTTTAATGAAAGAAGGTAGCAAGTGGAAAATTTTAATTGAAGTATGAATATGAATAATTACAATTATAGCGTGTCGTTTTTATTGTGGTAATCAACATGTTAGCACGTTTCATAAGATCCATGACTTTCGTAACTTTACCTTCGTTTTACGATATGAAATTACCATGTTTCAAAGTGTAATTTGTACAAGAATAATAAGCGAAGTCACGAATATGTGACAACAGTTATCAAAGTGTTAAATACGGGCCACTGTAACGTCGACGATGGCCAACGCAAGCGTGCTCGCACGTTTCTTTGCCTACTAGTTTATCCAGCACACGTAATTGTGCAATTCACGCATTCGACGCCCGTTTAGTCGATTCATGCATATGCGTACACGCCTTTGTGCCTCCCCGCATTCTTGCTGGCTCCGGCCACATAAACGAGGGTCCGAGGCTTTTCGTCGTGCAATATATTTCGGTCGGAACGGTGGAGCGGTTCAGCAGCCCTGCTGCCGGACACGCACACATTCCGCTACCACATTGCGGGAACCGACCAAGCTGAACTGGAGCCGATATCCAGTCGGCGGTCGATCGAAATTTTTCTCTCCTCCGGCGCAGCACAGTTTTAGCGGCTCGCCAACAATGTGGACAGACAAGTATCGGAGTTGTTACCGTAACTCTTGACCGATGTATTACCGTTTAATATCGCGTTAGGCGATAGGCAAAGCGAATACCCCAACGATCCTCGCTGCGTTTTTCTCCCCGCGTATAATTTCGCGATCGCACGAGCGTTCGAGTACCGTTCGAGTACCTCGTTCTCTCTCGCAGCCACTTGTAAACCTCCATGGCTATCCGCGAGATGCTTGCCTCTGCTTTTATTTCGTTTGCAGTAGTTAACCGTTGCAGATACCGATTTAGAAGTGACGATCGTGCATGCACGCGAGATGAATGAGTCAGCTGGAGACGTGCCGGTGAATCGTGGCGATTTATTGTTGGCTAACGCGCGTTTACTATATTCCTCGAAGCTAACAGAATTGATCTTTCGCTACGAATATTCATGATCTCGTATCGTAGATTCGAACTCTTGATGAGTAATACAGCGATGGATAAGATAGCATAGGTAACAGTAAAATTGCATCGATGCTGCATACCAGCGATATCTATGATCTACTTATCCCATGATGCAGACACGTCCAACAAATTCCATAGCAGTCACTGATTAATAACATTCAATCAATGTCATTGAGCATCCACATGTTATTTACCTTACATAATAATCGATATTCGATCTTAATCGAAAATCAATCGAAGTTTAAATGATAAATGCTGTGATGAAGACACAGACACGCCTTCGTATATGTTATATTTTATTCTTATCGGTGAACGTGAGATTCAGAGAATAATTTCATTCAAAAATCTCGTACAACGTTCGACTGCGCAGATAAAATCGCAGCGGAGTTTATTTACGTAGAATTTCGTGATTGGATAACTTACCTGACCGACACGAAGCGCCACCAGGGCCAAACACAGTACCGACACAAGCGCACTGGAGAACGCGTGAAAATTGGTCCTTCTCACAAGCATTTCGACGGAGTGCGTGCCACGCTAAGCGGTCGACTGCGAAAACGTGTCACGTTCTTGCCAAGGCTGTCTGTCGTCGACAGACTCACGTCACATTTTCGTTGTTTCCCGAGAACAGTCTCATCGTATCGTTCGAGGTGAACGAGGCAACGTTTCGAGACGGCCACGCGGTTACCTCTGCCAGCAAGCAAGTAAACGCTCGTGGAACGATCGTTGCACAGAGGTGAATCGTGATCTCGTGGACGGTGTCTCGAAAACTCGACAGACTCGTCGCAGAGAACTGGAAGCGAATGTTATACTGGCGCAATAATGACTGTTCCTCCTGAACTGCCCCCAGGGACGCTCAGGTGTTCAAGAGTTTTTGGTGGGGATAGATCGTACCGGAGCGGCCATTCCCTTTTCATCCGATATGTGTATGCGATCCACGCATTCAAGTCACCGAATGCAGCGATGAGTCCCCCCGAGTTTCTCGCGGTTCCTGAACGGGGACAGCACCGTGCACGCTACTCGTTGCCAACGTTGGAATTCGCCTTACCGCTGCATCTAGTGAATTTCTCAATGTTCTGAAGCATTTTTGCGAATCGTATGTTCAAATAGAGATCAGAGCGCCATTCTATGGTTCGGATAGAGCAAAACGAGCACTCAGAGGTTCGTGTACAAGCTTTCGTTTAGAAAAATAGTGAGAACTACGATTTCGTTGATTTTTCACTCGCGAAAGACGTCAAAAAGGTAAAACAGACCACAAATTTAGTTCCTCGTTTTTTCTGTAGGGCGCAGTTCATTCGATATGTATAATGGAGCAGTCTTCACGCGTACCCTTTTGTACATATTATATAATTAATGAAATTAGTGTTGCGAATGAATTCGCGATTGTTATTAAATTTTTTACTTTTATTGCATTTATTAAATTAGTGGAAGTAACTATGACTCACATTCGGTGGGAATCCATTGCTAGTCAAGGATTCCGCGGCCTAAGACCGTAGACACCATCTCTGGGAGATATACCCATGCATTACTAGGCCTTTGCAGGCGCAGCTTTAGAATTCGGAACATATGAAAATATGTTACCATATTCTAAACTGTAGTCCTTTTGTCTATACTATGGGCGTCCGCAAATCTGACATCGTTGGATGCAACGTGTTGGACGGGCGGGTAGCGCTCTTAGCGAAGGGGTGCACTCTGTCCTGGCGTTACGACGTCCAGGCGGGGTGGGTGGAATGTAGCGTCTGGCGTAAGTCTAGGGGGCGTGAGACCCTTCGTTGCCAGCCGATGTTTTGTCATAGTTCAGAATGTTTGCAATTTTAAAATTAGTGTTGCGTGTGATTTCGGTTTCTTTTATAGGGTTTGCTTAGGGATTGCTCTTATGGGTAGTCAAACTTTTCTTTTCAGGTTCCCCTGTACCCTCCCTCCCACTGCAGTGCCCCCATTCTTTTTTCTTCCCTTTTTTTAATTTTGAAAATTTTGAGCATTCGGTTGTTGGAAATACTGTTAAATAATAAATGAATTTAATGTTTTCAGAATATTATTAAATACGATAAAGTTTTAAATAGAACTTTATTCAAAGTTTTATTTAAAATGAAAGTTCATTTTATTTTGTGATGTTTGGTGATAAATTATTTCAAGGAATATTTGTTCATTTGAAATTGCTTATTTAATTTTAATTGTACTTTGTTTAAACAAAAGTAGTGGATGATCGTTGTTAAGGTTGTTCAGTTTTAATTTTTAATCGCGATATTTTGTTTCAAGCTTACGGAGAAGCTAATTAAATTAAATTTCTTTTCCTCAAAAGCAAAGTCCACTCGTGAGTTTCTTTCCAGTTTTTCCATTTACAATAAATTTGCATTGAAAGGTGTATTGAATAATATAATGCAATAAAGTCGAGTAGAGTCATGGTTGTACGTACTATATATTGCAGTAAAAGACAGTTGTTTCAATTAAGATATTGTGTGCTATTTGTCGCGAAATGAACGAATATTAAATACAATAAAATGTAATAATTAATGTTCTTAACTCAAATCACTTAACTCAAATATATATTTTTCTGAATTTTTTTCTCTTTATTTTGGTACTGAAGTTTGCTTTAAATTCATATTTCGTATCAAATTGATTTTGAGTTATTAACAACTACTCTGACTTTTATAAAATTTTATTGTTACTAATGTATCTTCTTTCCAGCTATTAATTTTTCTTTGTCTTTATCTGGATTCAGTTAATCAGTTTCTGTTACAGAGAAATATCTTTATAGGAAGTATGAAATAATAATATCGGATAATTGACTGGAAGAAATGTAATATAAAATCTAGCGTCCATAAATGGAATTCAATGTATCATTTCAATAAAACAAGGTGAAAATGATTGAAAAGGAAAAATGATTCTTATAAGTGGTAATATTTGAACCGTACTATTTTCAAAAATTGTATTTAATCCTTTTCTGTTTGTTTCAGGCAGGTTGTAAATTTATGATTAAGGCTACATGAGCCTCGCTATTTTCTTAAATTATGTTTAATCCTTTTCAGTTTTATTTTAGGAAGTATTCTGGTGAGGACAACAAAATCAACAAATTCATTGGACTTATTTATGTATATGGTCATTAAGATATAATCGTCAAACACTGCAGTGTTTAATTAGGAAGCGTTAGATTTAAGCGAATTTTTAATATAATTACGAGTGCTCGTATAGGTAGCTATTCTTAGTAGTATAAGTATGTAGGACAAATATGCAATTGCATATTTATTAATTACAGATCTGTAATCAAAATCAAAATTGAAAAATGTTGCGATAGGAATAAAAAGCAAAAATCGACGTAAATATATGTATAGATAAGTAGATAGGTAGGTAGTGAATAAAAATAATGCTTCTTTTGTTGTTCGTTTGCACAACAGTCAAAAACGTTTTGCAAATGTGCATCAAGAGGATGATGGTATTGAATAAAAATAAAAATTTGCATAAATGGAGGGTGGATGGGATGAGGTAGGGCGGGTCTCCACCCGCAGCAACCTCCCCGTGGTGAGACCTGGGCAATCGTTATTATTTGATGACTAATTAATAACTGTATCATTATTTCCATGGTACATTTATTAATTATGCAGCAAATAATACGAGCGAATTGGCTGCGTTTATGCTGTTTTTTCTATTTAATCTGTGTTATATTTTTTTCAGGAACTATGCCTTTGAGATTCTGAAGTGTACCACATTGCAAATACAATTTTACGGAAAGAAAATTAATAATAATGAATGCATTATTGTCAGTATTGATTAATTATATACTTATACATATAGCTATCGTAGTATACACGTGTCATTTAGGTGTATGCAAAAGGTGACGTAGTATAGCATGTCGTTAGTTGATAGCATGCGATAACTGAGGTTTCTGTTCGGCCTAATTTTCGATGAAACGTTGACTGTTTTACCGACGCGAAATTTGAAGTTCGGCCTCGCATACAGATCGTGGCACAAGTAGTCTGTTTCTACAATCATTTGTCATCAGCATTGATTTTCCACCAGTGACTACAGATATAGAAAAAGACTGGACACGTCTTTGTTACTGAAATATGCCAACGCTGAGCTCTAGATCCTGACGATGAGATATAGTTGTTGGTATCGAAGCAATCTGCCGTTACCATCGATTTGCTTTAAACTGTTGCAGAGCAAAGTGTTTCAGGTTTTTATACTAGAATAAAGCAGATGGCACTCGTTCTCGAGGAACAAATTCAAGATTCCTCGAAAACAAAGGCACTGTTTTATTCCTAGAAAGATAGAGTCATACCCATTCATTCATAATATTTTTTTTTTAAATAATATCTTAACTATACAGTTGCAAATTTAGATGGAAATTATTCTTTTAAGTATCGATTGATTTTTATGACTCGGGAAATAGTAGAATGTAGATATCGACTCCGGGTAGATGGTCCATCCCCTTTAATATTAAAAATTTCTACTAGTTTCTTGATTCTACGAAAGATTATGTCATTTGGCTTGTAATTACTGTAATGCGTCTATAATACCTTATTCCGTTATATAAGGTCAACACAATTTTCATAATAGGGTGACCAATTAATTTAACGAAGTCATTGTTCTTCACGTCACTCCCCGTTATGCTCGCACCAGGTGTATGATTTAACAGAGAAGATAAATACGAAACAATTAAGTTCCAGTACACAGATAGTGTTTGTAGAATGAAATTAGACAAACGATTCAATAGATATTGATTGAACGAAGATTGCAGGAATTATAGGATTGTCGATAGTCGCGACGCTTGTAAAGGTACTGTCGCAGCACCTCTTAAGTTATCACAATGCGGACAAAAGCGAATATCGAAGACAATAGGAAGCTTACACGATCATTCGTGGATGACACGAAGACCATTCAAGATACTGATCAATTGATACTCTAAACCAGGAAGAATTTGAATGCAACGTGATTGCATCTCGAATAATCTTTCATTCATCAAAGTATGCAATATTTTTTTAAACAGTTTGAAATTTTATGAAGAATACTTTATTCTGAAAGTTAAACCTACACTCATACATAATTTAAAGTTTCGTTCGGACCACTTTCCTCGTTCCATACTTACGTAATTTCACATTTATGACTATTTAATTAACCCATTAAGAGGACAAGAGTATGCAGATAAAATAAAAGTATCCCGAGGAAAAAGTAAATGATTCACGGTTTCTTACGTAACCAGGTGAGACACACGAGCGTTTGACGCGATACTAAAGGAATGTAATTTTAATGAAAATCCAACCGCGTTCGTTATTTCTTCCGAGCGTTTTTTACCCCGCAAAAATGTAACTGACCCGCTTTCTCGTGGAAAACATTCCAGCATCGCTTTGCCTCCTGTAAAACAGAAAAGAAAAATCACGTCGATGAAATATACAAGAAAGTACATATTCGATACACAAAAGCAGAGATTGTTATGAATATTAATATCATTGTGTTCTAACGAACGTAAAGCAGAACGAAATGGGACAAAGAAGTTTCGTTCAAAATAGGAATTCCCATCTCATATTTTTCTACGAACATTCCCAAAACCGTGCTCGACCAGCAGCGCTCGGAACAATAGAAATTCTATCTCTCAAAAGATTTCAAAGTACGGTCTCCATGGGTACAAAAGCTCTTGGTAAGTGCAACGTCGAGGAATCATGAATAACTGGGTCGTCGCATTAATTCTTTCATCCGTCGTGGAAACGTGTCGTACGGTCGAGTGGTCTACCACCTGGTACCGGCGAAACAACACGGCCGGAAAAGAAGCTGTATTTTAATCGGAAAATGAATGAAAAATTTACTGACTGAAGAGGATAGAGAAATGATATTTCTAGAAACCGTGGATGGTTACATCCCTGCTTTCAAGACGATTACAAAACATCTTGCAGCTACCAATTGTGTATGGAGACAGAGAGGTTGCATTGAATGCAGGCAGAGACGTGTGTCGTCGTACTATGTAGCTTGACGTTTCATCTTCACTCGGCCAGCAGGTGGAGCATGTTTGATGTGTATCGAACGACGTCACCCTGTACAAACACGAGGAACCGGGGCCGGGCATATCGTAGAAACATAGGGGCTCGTCCCTTTTTCCCCTCTTGTCTTTAGCTGGCGACACTCGGAGAAGGTAGGGGATGATAAGGAGAACGCAAGCGCGAACCTATCGACCAGCAAACCCTCCGGGTAACACCCTCGCGATTCTCGGTCGAGGCTCACTGCTTCACCGGCAAACTAGTGGGTAGTACACGCACGCGACACAGGTGAGTACCGTCATTCTCAATCTCTGTCTTCTTAACACGTTCGCTGAGCACCGGAAGTCGTGGACATCCGCCGGCTGAATGAAATTAGTAACAATAATATTAATTAAGTGTGAAGCTAATCCGATTCGTATGCCAAGATCACAGAGGACGTGGATCCACGGCATTCGCAGCGAGCGTGTTAACACTTCCGGGCCATCAATGTTAAAATTGACGTCCGTTGTAGAAATATTTCCGTGTGTGATGTCTAACGTCGCAAAATTATATCAATTAAGTATTTTATTAATTTAGTATCATGCATTCAATTTTCCGTTAAAACTATCGGCGACTGATATGAGTTTCAGTGTGAACCGTGCAGCAGGTTAAGTGTTAAATTAGGGTTAATGACAGGGAGGATGATTGAATTATGTAGGTGTTGAAAGATTAAATCAATAGGGTTTCAGAGATATTTGTTTGACTTTTATTCCTCGTAACTCGGGTTAGCTTCTTCTCTTTGGCACTGTAATGGATTGACTTTTAACATGGTGATCAAGGATGAAATGGTCACGGAGGGGATTTGATGGAATTGGGAATTGATTTCTGCTGGAGGGATATTTTTGATGGAGTTTGATATTAATAAAATAGTAACACTTGTGATGTTTCAATTTATTCGATGTTAGGGATTCATGGAATAAATACATGGATGTCTAGTTGCAACGTGGAAAATGGTTTAATCGAAGACTTATAAGATGTCGATACTTGGTTGTTCTTCTTCCTTGGTGCTTAGAATGCTTCTATCTACAATGAGGTTTAAATTTACGCACGAGCATATAAGCTTGATAGTACTATGTTGATCAATGATAGCAAGTTATAGTGTGTATAGGTTGACGTGATTGTTCACGAGGCCAAGTTGCGTGCTTTCACGTGATTCTTTACTTTTAAGCTTCTTACTGTTCCTCTTTTATTAATTCATTTTTGAAGTACTTACTACTCCTCTTCCATTGATTATTCTATCCATTAATAAAAATTTTAATTATACGTGACATTTTTAATGATAAAGGTGGAAGTGAAATTAATTATTCAGTTCCTTATTAAATGGGAAATGAGGAATGAGAGGATCATTAAAATTGCAACTTCTTTCAGAGTCGAAAGAAGACAAATGAATTAAACAAAAGTGTTACGCCCATTCTGTATAGTTTGAATTAAAATATTTTGTAATTAGGACCAGCAGTAGAGTACGTGATTAAATGTTTGTACTTGTTTGTGATTAAATATTCGGGATATGTATTTCCGGTTCCTGCAATTTTGCATTCGCGTACACGTTTCTGGTTGCGCAGCTTTGGGCGGTCAATGCGCCTGCCCTTTCCTAACACCTAGGGACTCTTCCGTCATCGATTATTACTAAAGTCTAAGCTAAACCCCCTAGAAATAACGTGGATTTTCAATTCTTCTTTATATATTCTATACAAAATCAATTGATGAAAATATTTCATAAAATTTTATTCTAATAAAATTGATCTTTGAGTCTTTAAGTTTCGAGTGGGTTTATCACGAATTTCATTCCTTTAATCCTCCGCAAAGTTCATTTCTGTGATAGTGTCAACATCTCGCAGTTTTATCGGCTTATTTAAAATTAGAAACAACTATCGACATCCATTAGTCGATCGGTATCGTGTTCCCCGGGCAATTTGAACGGTAAACAAATTGCACCCTGCATGTGTTGTCGCTGTTAGGGGGATGGAAAAATTTGTCCCAGCAGGTGGTAGAAAAAATTGATACCTAAGGGTACAGGTTCTAACGAAGACTGAAATTCATTCCAGCTCATTTGAAATTCTATTAACTTTCCCATCTCTTGCATTAATTGAATGCAGAGCAAGTTGTCACGAGCAGCAGTGAGATGCTTTAGTTTAAAGTTTGAAGCAGTTCAGATAGGAAAACGCCTTGGAACCGGAAGCCAGATACTGCAGTTCCAACTTGAAGGAAATCATAGAACTTTCCTCGACGTCTATTCAAAACTTTTCGTCTAATTTCTTAGGACGTTTAACCCTTTGATCTATTTGGAAGTTGAAGTCACGCTTTGCACGATTAAATCACACCAGTAATTGTTGAAATTTAAAAATAATTTTTTATCTTTTTGAAATAAATATCCTTCACTATTTTTTATAATCTTAGTAACACGCATTGCATACACTCAAAGTGTTAAACTTTCTTAATCGACTTCGCATCACGATCGCGAAGTTGCGTGTCACGCTCAAAACTTCGAAGAACTCTATTAGATTTTTCCTCGAACATACGAGTGAATTTTCTCTTCTCATTCACGAAAACAATCGGTACCTGCCGCAAAGCAGGCACGAGTCAATAACTCGTTATCGCTCCTCTTTATCGCGATTCGATATCCGAGGGTGGCTGAAATCACTGCTCCGACGTAACCAAGCAAAACACACAACCGGTGTAAAAAAATGCCTGTAACATGTAAAGTCACGTTGTGCCGTATCGATCAGCGAGGCATCAAGCTCTACTTTTGCCGTGCTAAATTTCCACCTGCATCCCGAGCACTCCGAGCTCTAGCTTGGGCATTTTTATCTCGAGTATCACGCTATTCTTACGCAATCAAAAATCGCTGATTTCTTGTTTTTTGTTATTTTACTTGGTTTATGATTTTCCTTCAAATACATTACACTGTTCTTAATCCGCCAGATCCATTTTTTGCTAGCACAAGCATTTCGGATAATCTAACGAGTGTATTAGGTGTAATCTACACATCAGTTACCGTTCTAGAAACCTACATTTCTTATCTCACCCTTTCCAGTTTCGCAGCACCTTGACTGAATGCATATTTAATGCATTCATACTGGCAATAACGATTTTCGTTGCGTTACGTGACCAGCACGCGAAGCAATGTTAATATTCAACAAATTCCGTCGTCACGGTTGCTAATTCAATTCTGTTTCCTTTTTACAGATTTCAACTTGGATTGTTTAGTTTCTCCTTTCTCACCTCTCTTATTTCGTCCTTTCCTTTTGGATTACCTTACGTTGAAGTGTTATCCCGGAAACTCCGCAATCGCAATCGCGATCGTCGTCGAACGAGACCAAAGGCTCATCCACCATCCCCGATCCCCTCGGTACCGCGTGACGTGGAGAACAGAAAGATAGCCGCGTACACGAGCATTAAACAGGAAACGATAAGAATCCTACGGTTTTCGTCGGAAGGACGAAGTCGGTGTTAACCAGCAAGATTACCGGCCGCGGCGGTTGCGCCAAATATTGTGGTACAGCTCCTTCACCCGGCAACATTTCATTCTCCAGCTTTCGACAGTCTTTCACTTCCAATGTTAACTACCTGAAACGGAGGTGAGTGATCCTTCGACAGTGACATATTTTTGCATGGTCCAGTCTAATTTGTTTAATAGAATATTCGAAACCTTCTTAATAATAGAAGAAACGAAGAGTTTTGAATTGTCAACTTTCTTTAATCCTTTCATTACTATTGGCACCTGTAGGTGTTCGAGAAATTCGCTCGTCCTGTGTTACAGGCACCTTTAGACGTATGATCGTTCGATAATGTATATAATTGGAAAGAAAGAGATTAATCTCTTAATTAATTGGTAACGCGTTGAAAAATACCTTTCACGGTAATTAAGAGGTCGTTGTATTTTTAGTCGTGATACGTTCAGGTTACCGTGTCTCTCGAATCCCCATTTACTCTGTACCGTGAGAGATTAACATTTTTGTCGCAGAAATTTTCGCCCTTTTTCATGTGAATCGAGCCGTTCCGTCGTACAAAAGCAGGTGAAAATATATGTAACGTGGAGAGGAGTAGAGTTTCGGGTCGTTGTACTGCTGAAAGGCTGTGTATGTAAGAGCATTTGTCGGAGGTCTTTTCATTGAATCCAGAGGTTGAGCGTTGTAATGACGGTCTAAAATAATGACCGGCTATCTTGATACAAAGTTGGCCCAATTCGCGTCTATATTTTGTCACGCGATGCACTTTGCGATACCATGGACGATAAGTTACTCGTTCAATTAACGAGAAGTAGTTATCTGATTTCTTAATTAAACTAGAATCAACGACAGAAAATGAATAGCAGGGTGATCATTTCAATTTCCAGAGCTTATAGAATCAAGAGGAACAATTTTTTATACAAATATCTCGATGTTTTTCCCTAGTTTCATAAATGTTGGTGTATGCATGCAAGTCAATGGAGAAAACCGCTTTTGGCATCGTGCAATGGAACATGAGAACCTTGGATGAAGTTTAATCACTGCATTTCCATAGCATCGAAATCGACAATAATGCGTTCGACGACGTTTAAGGATACCCTTAAAAGCTTACCGAAAGCATCCCCGCTGCGATCTATCGTGCAACCCATCGAAACCTATTTGTCGGAAATCCTCGAATCAGCCGTTTTACCAGGAAAATCGTCACCCCATCCCATAAAGCACGAACAGTCGTCGACCCACGTTTCACGCGAGGCACCGCGATCAGTGCTGCTCAGAGGAGCGAGTGTGTCATCGTTTGTGTCACGCATGCAAAGCAGCAATCGTCATCATCGCCAACGCCATGTCCATGCCATGCCCTGACCACTGGCTGTTGTTCGATGTGCATTGAAACTGCCAGCAATAAAAAAAGCGTGAAATCGCGGGACGATCCGACCGATTACCACTATCACGACCACCACCATAGCTTGTCTTCCAGGTTCTCGTCAGGGGATTTGAGCTCGGAGCTCGACGATGAACCAAGCACAGACTCCGGGCTGGCCTCCATGGCCAGGGATTCGTCCCAATCGTATCAAGGGGGACCCGATCGGCCTCTCCAATCTCAGCCAACCCCAGTACCAGCTAGCCAGACACCGGTACCTGGAGCACCTCCTCCAGGTGCCACTCAGCAGGCTGGAGGTGATCTCAGTCTGAACCTGAGGCCTGGATCGAGAACCACCAGTGCACCCTCCTCGCCAGCCAAGACCCGAGAGAGTTTGCTGCAGAGGGTGCAGAGTTTGACCGGGGCTGCTCGCGACCAGGTTGGTTCGAAACGAATTTAATAATATGCATGAATATTTGTAATAGGAAGTATCGATACCCATCACTAGCGATCGATGACTCGGAAAGTAAATGGCTCGATTCAGGCAAGATCAGGCAATTTTGCTTACCATCATTTTAATGATTAGGGTGCATCCATCTTGGGAGCGGCAGTGTCCGGCGCAACGAGGGGGCCGTCTTACAACAAAGACCGATGTTTTACCTTGCTGGTAATCGATGACCAGAACACCGACTGGAGCAAGTACTTCCGGGGTCGTCGACTCCACGGTGATTACGAAATTCGGGTCGAACAGGCGGAATTTCGGGAATTGTCGTTGACGGCCAGCGAGGCTGGCACTATTGTGTCCATGGCAGTTTATCGTAACGGGACCAAAGTCATCCGGTAAGATGTGTCTTTGGTTTTATGGTAATTAAAATTCTATCAGACTCAATTTTCGCCTATGTTCTATTGCAATAAATAGTGAATGTATTTCAGTTTTTCGATTCATCTAAAATCATTTTTCTGGAATATTATACCTACCATATGCGCACGGTTTTGTCCTCAGATCCTTCAAGCCTGATTTCGTCCTGATACGACAGAACCTTAGGGACGCGGGAGAAGATTATAAAAATCTTCTTCTTGGTTTGATGTACGGTGGTATACCAAGCGTTAACAATCTCACGGCAATTTATAACTTTCAGGTAAATAAAAGAACTTGTAGAAAGTTCTAACTGGGGCAACGATTAAAAGTTTCCACACCTTCCTGCTGAATGGAGTTTCTTGATCACGTTTGTTGTTCCAGGATAAACCTTGGGTGTTTGCGCATTTACTCGGTCTCCAGCGTCGTCTTGGAAAAGACAATTTCCCGTTGATCGAACAGACTTTCTATCCCAATCATCGTGAAATGGTGAGTAATGAAATTCTTTTGAATGCTTACAGAACGAACGACTATGCGTTTCTCGTTTATTTCCCATCTCTTAAGTATTGTAATACTTACAAAAGTTATCAAATGGAAGAACTATCAACTAAACATACATCGTCTCGTGCTATACAGATTATCGTGATAAGAAATGCCAACTTGTACGCGTCGAACAATACATTTCCAATGTTTTGTACTAAAGTTCTACCCGAATCGTGGGTTTCGTTTCATTTTTGTTTTCGAAATGAAACAATGTTAACACGTTGAATGTCGCGAAGACCATTAGTGAAAGTCACCATAAATTTCAAATGAAAAAATTCGAAATATTATTTAGGGCTCCAAATGAAAAATTTTTATTCCTTGTCAATAACTTTCATAATTGAAATACATTCAACGTTACCTTGTTTCGATAATTCCTAGACTAAAAATCAAATATCCTTCGCGCAGTTTCTAACGCATAGACGAGACGAGTCTACAAAATAAACATGAAAATAATTTAAAAATCCATAATATACATGAATAGCCTAATATGTACAACTAAGGGGATGGCCAATCGGTATCGAATACGCTCGCTGCATCGGATTCAGTCGATTTATTTTTGCGCTCGAGCTCGTCGAATGATTTCATTAAAAATCGAGCGAGGCTAACCGCTTCTCGTCCGATTCTCGTCGAACGAGTAACAATCCGGAATCAATGTAGACTGAACTCTATCGCGAGCTATCTTCATAACGCGAATAAATTAAACATTGAATAAGGTTCGCTCGATATCCTCGATTTTGATTCGAGTACGGAAGGAAGACCATTTGAGGGATGAATAGTAAGAAGGGGTAGGTTAATTGAACGCGAAAGATTCGACGACACAAACGCAATGCTACAGATCCCGAAATAACTTATTATGGTAATGCAAGCAGTTTCAAGAGTTCGTTGGATTATATTATACTTTTAACAACAGTCGGAGCAGTTCGATTCGCTGCTTCGTGTTTGTTTAATGAACCACTTTTGTACTCGCCGGCACGACCGACCAATTAATACTTTCGCTGGAAAACGCGGCAATAAATAGACGGTTACGCAGTCAAGAAATTAATGCTTCTCCTTGGAAACTCGTCGTAAAAGAGCATTAATTTTCTGATGCTTTACCGTGATAGTTTACGTTCCGCAAACGCTTTTCACGCAAGAGAACGATGATCGCAAACTTTAGCATAGCGTGCTGGTGTTGGCCAATGCCGATTTCCCGCCAACATGATCGACTTTTCGTTTGATCGTAGAACTCTCGCGTGGGTCGAAGCAGAGATTTTTCTTTAAGGTTCTCGTGCTCGTTGCTGCTCGCGTTTCTGTTGATATTCTTTGATGCAATTCTTGTAAGGCACGGAATTAACCCACGAACATGTGCCTCCAGCAATCATGCATATGCCGTAATCATTTTGGCAATCTTCAGGGCCTGGTTTACTTTCCCATAGACACTCTTTTCCTCCCACGTTCTCTAGAACCGCTCCCTTGGTCCACCATGGTGTATAATGGATCTGTAATAAAAAAATAATTGTTTCTTTCATTCAGAACGATCGAAATTAATTAATCTCATGAATTGAAAATTTATTAGTATCGTTCACTTACACTGCAATTGCAACCGTGACGATATAATTGTTTGAAAGCTTTCCGTTGCCTGCTAGGCACAGTTCGCCATTGAAGCGATAATCCACAGATCGATATACGAGCTCGATCGCCATTCGTAGTTCCACTCACAACATAAGTTTCTCCGATTTTAAGACGCACTCCGCACATACCGTCCGAGGATGAGGTCCATAGGACATTTTTCTTAAGGGCGTAATACGATTTCGAGCTGTTTACCTGTAATTAAAAATAATTCTTAAATGATTTTTGTGGAATGGAGTAATTTGAAAATTTTTATAGATCCATGTACGAACCTTGAAGATTTTGCTGGTTTTCACGTTGTAGCCGATTTCGTGCTCGTTCATAGGTATCTCCTTCTTCACTCGTACCAAGGCAACTGTGAAGATTAATAAGCAGACCGTGTCGCGAACAGAGAAATTTGATGAATCGAATGCCGGGAGATTATTAATGTAATAGCTTACCGAAATCTGAATTGCAAAATTGAGTCTGGGGGTGACTTCTCATGCAAGAACACGCCATAACCCTCTGCATCGGTGCTAGCGATAACGCTATCAGCAGAAGGTACGTCCAAAACCTTAATCGCCACATCTGGGAATAGAAGAAGTGTAACTATTAATTAACCAATCTTTTTCTACATCCATTATCTGTGGAATTGAAAAATACAAAATTTTTGCAAAATAATGAGACACGTTCGAAAATCGTGTATCATGAATAATTAATTCTAGATAGTCGTAGTTGTTAACAAGCAAGATTCGTGTTTCCTTTTAAAATTCTAATCATTGCAACGAGATAAAGCTCGAGATAATTCGTGTTCATCGAAATGTTTCGTCGTTCAAACCTGAGGTTCATTTATCTTCGAAATCCGATTAGGCATATCCGAACGATTCGGGATAGTTGTCACCTGTCCGGCAGCCTCAATCGAATAACTTTATTTAAACGAACGCGAAACAAGCTGACTAAGGCTGAGAATGCGTGTTTCGTTTTCGTTCCAGCGAAAGGAACGCAACGATGAATCACACAGTCGTTCCTAAACGACTAATCTCAATTTGCCAATTGGCCATCTAAATCTGGTGGCCGAGCTGCCCACCTGCAGGCTTTAGTTAATGCAAATTTATTCGATCCTCATCGCGTAGCTCCTGCGAATTCCGCGAAACTGATTATCAATGGTTGCTTATACCGCATCTTGAATAAGCTTGCAAAAATACGAACGAGGAAATGGTCTAAACGAATCAGATTGGATAATTCCTCGACATTAAGTGATTCAAAAGTTGGTTACTCTTGAAAATATCAATGGAATGACGAAATAGATTCATTCATAACGCTGAACGTCGAGGTATAATCGCGAGGAATTTCTTCGGGACAGACAACACGTATCACGGAAGCGTTCTAATCCGGTCTAGTTTATCGATGTCAGCTGAACCAGATCTAAAGATAGATGTAAAATGGTAACCAAAGTCGAACACGGACCAGAAACATCGTGACTTGTCTGAAAGATAGTATCGACGATGCGCTTTCGTGGACTGCGAGAATAGATCGGTGGACAGCTAGAAACTAGGTGTTCCGAGTTAAGTCTACGACAGTCGCAAGGAAATTAACAGATTCCATTGCAATTGCTATACATATCGAAGTGTGTATTTTTGAAAGGAAAAGGGAAAAGAAGAGGATAGATGTATTGATCAACTTAAACGCACAAGGCGGTCAACCTGAAACAAACCACTCGATTAACTTTCACGGGTTTATTATTTAATGCACATTTTATTCTATAAATATAAAAATGTGACCTCAAAATGGCCTTCGATTCGACGTTTAATTTTTAGTCAAACGTTGTAGTTCTCGTGTTAAAGATTAAAGTCTTTCGTTATACAAGTGATTGCAACGTGTTTCAATGGTAACAATATGTTGATGTATACGTTATTGCGATTGAAACTGTTCGGTACGCGTTGTACATGCTAAACGATCGAACAACGTATCGTTAATGCGCTCAGGCAGCCACGATAAAAGCACGCCTGTGTATCGTTGACAATACATCACGCTCGGTAACGCTCGGTTGTGAAGCGTAACGCGCAATGTCACCGACGAGCGCAAGTGCACTTACCAGACTCAAGTGTCTGTGAATGAGCGTTGAATTCGTAGGTGCACCCGGTGATCATCGTTTAACATGCATTCGCTTCGAATTTATGCTTCCCCGTTGAACCCTCCGCCAGGCTGCCGATAAACCTTCGTTCCGCGATCGTTTCGAAAAATTTATTGGCCAATCCACGGTTAACAACGAGCCTTAGCTACTTCCACTGGAATGGATGTTAATAACGAAGGCGATTCGATGGGGATTGAACCCGTTCGTTGCTTTAACCGTGCAACGTTTGCTTATGGTAAATTGATCAACAATTTCCTGTGGGCGTTTTTACAAACTAACCTTGGAAAACCCTTTCCGTGTATCAAGAAATAAAAGAACGGCTCGGAAAGCATTGGCCTTTTAATAACCCGAGAATTAAAAAGTCAAACGTTCACCGAAAACCTTTTCACCCGATGTTTGCGTTTACAATTCGCGAATACCTAGAGGATGAGGAAAAAGTGGATAGAGGAAAAGTGAATCGAGAAATGGAGGAAAAGTTTGGTTCAATTGCATGCAAGAATTTCCACGGTGTATAGAGCCAACACCCAGATGATACCAGCGATATTCTCACCGAACGGTTTATTCGATGCACTTCATGCATCATTATGCAAACGGCTGATGTCATAGGCAGCTACGCACAGCGTCGCATTATTTTTATTTCCGTTCGCAATAATAAACACACCGATGGCCCGTGAACGAGGATCCACACCTCGTGACGCATCCCCATGACGATCTCTCACGGTTCCACGTGATTCGTCATACGCATCAGGATTTCATTTCCCTTGAAATTGAGTATTGCCTCGCTTCCATCGTAATCCATTTGCGTGATTATTCAACTCGATGTGCATTAATGCAGTTCGCAACCCACCATGAAACTCGTATCACACGCTTTTGATTTCCTCTTGTTCTACTTTCAGCGTTAGCTCGTTGCACCACCCTCAATGAGATATAAATAATGGTACTTTTGGTATCATTGATCTATTTACGATACAAATAATCCTACCAAACATTCCACCTTCGAAACGTTAAAATACAAGTGATGAAGAAATTCAATCGGTATACTGTAAATCGTACCCCCGAAAGAAGGACGTAAAGGTGTTCCTCGTTTTATTACAGTCGAATAAGGAGCCATTATCGTTGGAGGTTCGCGAAACGAGCAACCGTATACACGTTAAAGACAGCTCACAATGTACAATATAATTTACGATCGATAATTCCCGTATGGAACCGAGATTTGTGATTGCGA